TCTGTATCCTATTAAAATTCTCTGGATAATATATTTTGTTGTCATTGTTGTTTTAGCATCAACATGTAAATTCTGTCTTGTCTTCTATGAGTGGTGGTTTCAGTGTTAATTCTGTTTTCTAAGACCTTTGTTATGCTATTTGAGTTTACTTGGGGCATGCACCACTCAGGGCTTGGTCTGGTACTTGGGAGGTGTTTATATTGTAATTCAGTTCTCGTAGTCTTTACTATAATTCTTTGTGTATTTTTGTGCATGTGAAACTTGGGAGTTGTGTAGGTGAAACACAGCATTAGAGAGTCTCTTCTCTAGCTCTTCGGTGAGATTTCCCTCACATTCCTGGCTTCCAGAGCCCCTTTTCTCAAATTCTCTGGCCAGAAATATTGGGTTCTTTCACAGTTTTTTTTCCTTCTAGGCTGTGGTGCAGTTCTGTGCAAATATGCCATTGGGCAAAGTGGCAAGAAAAAAGGGAAAAATACAAGGGCAATTCCCTGTCTTTTTGCACAACAGGGGTCCCTTTTCTTATTTTTCTATCCAGAGGGATGGATCATCTTTTAGGATCTTTAAGTGCTCATGCCACCACTGGGGTGGCAATGCAGATGTGCATTTAGAGCTGGTCTTGAGGCGGGACTAGAACAGGACAAAGTAAAATGGTGTAATTTCTCTCATACTTTCTGACTTGCAGGGCCGCCTTTCCTGATTCTCCAGCCAGAATGATGGGTTTTTGCTGTTTTTACTTTCTACACAGTTTCTCAAACTCATTTGACTCAACAGCAATGGATTTTTTTTTTTTTTAACCTAGTTTCTAATTTGGCTTAAGAAGCCCTGGTGGTGCAGTGGTTAAGCACTCGGCAGCTAACCGAAAGGTCAGCTGTTCAAACCCACCTGCCATGTGGCAGTCTGCTTCTGTAAAGATTATAGCCTCAGAAATTCTATGGAGCAGTTTCTACTCTGTCCTATGTAGGGTCTCTATGAGTAGGAATCAACTCAATGGCAACGGGTAAGTTAGCTTGCCTTTAGGGTAAAGCCAGTAGGAGAAAAAACAAACTAACAACAACAACAACAAAAAACCCAGAAAACTCTTTGTGGCTGAATTGATCTTTCTCTAAGGTTCATCTTCCCTTTCCAGCCCACTTGCTATTATTTCTCAAAGTCCTCAGGTAGGTGTCTGTCATATTTGTCCAGAGTTTTAGTTGCGATTGGGAAGTGATAGACTGGGCTGCTTCTTCCTTTGACTGCATGTTATTAATGTTTTTATCCTAGTGAATGAAAATGTAAAACATGAGGGTCATCAATTATTTGGTTAACTCAGTTATGGCAGGGATGGCAAATATTTGGCTTACATGTGGCCACTTTTCCTTCCCACACTCATAGCTAATATCAACATTTCTTTATTCCTCTTCTCACTGTGGTGCCTCAGTACAATCCTAGGAAGCTTTCAACACAGCTAACTGGGAAGCCACTGCAAAATTATTAGCGTTGGCACGTGAAGTAAAGGCCTACCTTTTAGTTTTGCCTTTAGGATTTAGTTACTCACTCATAAGTTCCAGCTCTCCTTTCTCATTTCACTCCAGTGACTCCTCTCCTTAGATTTTCATCTTCCCATACTCTTTTCTCTCTTTAAGATCCCTGTTGATTGATATGCTTCTTCTTCACCAGGTAGGCAGATTATAAAATATCATTCTTTGCTTTCTTATAAAGTTTCCATATTTTCATAGAAAATTTAATGTGACTACCTGATCTTCGACAAGGACCCAAAGTCCATCAAATGGGGAAAAGATAGTCTTACTAACAAATGGTGCTGGCAAAATTGGATGTCCATCTGCAAAAACATGAAACAGGACCCATACCTCACACCATACACAAAAACTAAGTCAGTTTGGATTAAAGATGTAAATAGTAAAGCCAAAAACTTAAAGTTCATAGAAGAAAAAATGGGATCAGTGATAGAGACCCTAATGCATGGCATTAACAGGATACAAACCATAACCAACATTACACAAATGCCAGAAGATAAGCTAGATTACTGGGGTCTTATAACGCTCATCAAAAGACTTCACCAAAAAAGTAAAAAGAGAACCTACAGACTCGGAAAAATAATTTGGACATTACAAGTCAGACAAAGGTTAATCTCTAAAATCTATAAGAAAATCCAACACCTCTACAACAAAAAGACAAATAATCCAATTAATAAATGGGCAAAGGAAATGAACAGACACTTCACAAAAGAAGACATTCAAGTGGCCAACAGTCACATGAGGAATTGCTCATGATCACTAGCCATTAGAGAAATGCAAATTAAAACCACAATGAGTTACCATCTCACCCCGGCATTACTGGCATGAATCAAAAACACTGGAAATAACAAATATTGGAGAGACTGCAGGGAGATCGGAACTCTTATGCACGCTGGTGGGAATGCAAAATGATACAACCATTTTGGAAAATGATATCACTTCCTTAGAAAGCTAGAAATAGAAATACCACAAGATCCAGCAATCCCACTCCTAGGAATATATCCTAGAGAAATAACAGCTGCCACACGAATAGACATATGCACACCCATATTCATTGCAGCACTGTTCACAATAGCAAAAAGATGGAAACAACCTAGATGCCCATCAACAGATGAATGGATAAACAAACTATGATACATACACACAGTGGAGTATTATGCAACAATAAAGAACAGTAATGAATCTGTGAAGCATCTCATAACATGGATGAAACTGGAGGACATTATGCTGAGTGAAATAAATCGATCTCAAAAGGACAAATATTGTATGAGACCTCTACTGTAAAAACTCATGCAAAAGTTTATACACAAAAAGAAACAATCTTTGTTGGTTACGAGGGATGGGAGGTGTGGGGGGAACTAAACAGACTATAGGTAAGTGGTAACTTTGGTGAAGGTAAGACAGTACACAACTGGGGAAGCCAGCACAACTTGTACAAGGAAAGGTCATGGAAGCTGCATAGACACATCCAAACTCCCTGAGGGACTGAATTGCTGGGAGGAGGGCTGTGGGGACCATGGTCTTGGGGAACATCTAGCTCAATTGGCATAACACAGTTTATAAAGACAATGTTCT